ATTAAAATCGATTGTCCGATTAAAATCCAATTTTAGTTGGGTGAATCAAAACTAATTGATTGAGTTGATTGATTTTACAATCGATTATAGAATTTTAATCGATTTTAATCGGATTCTTCTAGAAAAGATAGAAGTTTTGTTTGAAAAATCGGATTTGTCGATCGCTAGTCAAAAATAATCTGGATTTTCTTCGGAATATTTTTCACTGGGATTGGTACAAACCACCGACAAATATCTTTTTGCATAAAAAAGCCGGTCAAATACGTGCTTATCAAATGTTAATGTAAGATCATCTAATTGATGTTTAATAAGATAAAACAAACTTTGAACTACCGATTCAATTGATCCACATCGAATAAGAATAAGTGATTTAAGATTAGGAAAACGCAGAATATTTTTATCATTAAATAACCAGTCATAACAAAGATCAGAAGACATTGAATTTTTGTCATCAAAATGAATACGCCGAATAGAAGAATAAAAAGATGATGAATTTGAAATCAATGAAAATAATATCGAACAACATTTATTATAAGATAAACCATGTGTAATAAGAAGACCACTATTCAACCGATTGTTATTTATCGACAAAGTTGAACATACAAGAGAATTTAAGCGCATATTTAATGACCATAAAGATGTTAACATATCGAACCATGACAGATAAGAAAAGATATGAAGAAGAATTTCATTAGGTATGGTTTCCATTTTAGTGATCATTTTATCTCAAAGGAAAGATACGTTATACTTTTCTTTTTATAGATTTGATCACTATTAATCATTAACAAAATAATTGGCATAACGAAATAAAAACAAAAACCTTTATTTATTTAGATTAAACAAACGAATTAAAAATAAAAACCTTTATTTATTTAGATTAAACAAACGAATTAAAAATAAAAAAGTCCTATAAGCCTTGAAACATCAGTCAGCACGACCTTTTGATGCATAAGCGTTTCAGTTTTTTTCTTCGTGTCAACATTGCAGCAAAAACAAATTCCATCTTTTTTCCTAGCATACGTTGTACGCCATATATTATTTGTTTGTCAAGGTCAATATAATACAAGATGCAGCGATATACGTACTTCCTCGTTGATATGATATGATGATCAATGGATAAATTGCATCTTTAAGAACAGAAAACAAGAAAAGAATATTCAGCTTAACTTCACTATATTTGAAAGAGAGTACTAGGACAATTCATCGCGAGACAATTAGTCGCAGGACAATTCGTCCTAAGTATATATATTCTCTCGACTGCAGGGAGGGCCATATGAAATAAAATGCGGCTGTATGAGTGTGTGTGTATGTGCCAGGGTAAGAAAAACATCAGAGGTGAAGTTTATTTTGTCGTAACTTCCAAAGTTTCGCCAAAAGTAATTGTGATTGGTAAATCCGAAAATGAGGGCGGATTTTACACTTGACCTTCCCATTGGCTAGGACACCGACCAATCAGAAATGAAATTTTACATTTTAAGCTTGTTCGGCCTTTTGATGGAACCTTCCCATAGGTTATTGATGGCCAGGATTCCGAATCTGCAGTCGGATTTCACATATTAAAAAGGTTGGTGAATGTAAATCGGGATCGAGGAATCTGGATCTGAAGTCAATGTCTCAATATTTTTATTTAGACTTTTTCGATCAAACAAAGGATTTTTCGAGAAAATAACGATGCTTTATGTGATAAATGAAGTGTCTCCTTCGGTTATAAGACGGAAGAAAGACGATAATACTCATTCCTTTCTAGTATAGTGGTAATACAGTTGCCAGGAAAGCAGAAGATGTATGGTTGGATTCCTTGCGAACGGAAATATTCTTTTGTTCCGTTCTCTTGTCATACCATCACGTTATAATCTCGCATATAAAACTTTAGAAATGTTGGCGAACCTAAATCGACGTTCGGGCATCCAAATTTTTAGTATATTGCTGGAGGTTTGCAGCTGTAAATTTATCATTAGGGTAAGGTTTTTTAGGGAAACAATGAGTTTTCGGTGCACTAATCATTGAGTGGTATGGAATAAAATGAGCTTGTGATCTGGTATTGATTGGGAGAGTACTGTATTTAAATGTGTTACCGGGATTACAGACTCGACAAACCCACTAAAGTGAACTATATCTGACGTTTTTTCATAGTGTGGGCAGGGGGCAGAACAAGATCTACCTACTCAGGCACATACTTTGATATGAACCTGCTCGCATTGTGTTTTTCAGCAGAAGTTCTGACTCAAGGAATTTCTCGGCACTATGACTCAAAGAAGGTAATATAAACAAATATATAAAAATGATGTCACATTTTTTTATGTTTAAAAGAGAATAATTAACTATTGCTTAGGTGCTTTCCAATAATAGAGCGACTAGCCGTAAGTGACACCCCAGAGAGGTGCCGACGAATAACTAGTCGCTCATTTTTCAAGTTCACTGTTGATTCGCTTCAGAAATGATCTATATAAAGGCTAGTGTTTTTTTGGAGAATACTACCCTAAGATTCTCTTGATGAGGAATTGAAGTGAACCTCTGATTGGCTAGCTCGACAATGAAATTAGAGACATAAGGAATAGTTTACAACAAAGTTTCAGCTTTGAAAATTCTCAAGGAAATTCTCATGTTATAATTCTAATGACTTTTGCAATTAAGCGCAATCTAGAATCAGAGAGAGAGTGTGTAAATCAAAGAAGATGATCTTATGTCAGAATGGAATTAAGCATGGCAGCGGCTAGCTGCGAGTGGCACTCCGAAGGATTGCCGATGACTGACTAGTTGCTATTCTGCGAAATTATCTCAAGGTATTCTTCAGGTTGTTGCGATTCATCAGAAAAATGTCTACGGTTCAGATCTGACGAGGTCAATAGAAACCAAAACTGACCAAAAGACTAACAGGTATCTTCGAATGAAATGTGAGAGCAATTGTACTGCACGTGTGCAGCATTTGAATAGGACATTCGACGGAAAAAAATCGTACGAAAAATTCATTTCAGTCCATTCGAAGTAGATTTGAATGAAATAAAATTAGCTTTTCTGTCGTCATGTGTTCGTGTTTGTGTGCATTTACGCGTCTAAATTTATTCGAGCATTTTGAAATTATCTGTCTAATCCGATGACTACTTGGAGTACGAGCATCGTTCAAGTGGTGTATTCCGAGAATATGTCTGATAAAATATGATTTAATTTTAATCGAAAAGTTCAGCTAAATAAGTATTTTTCTAGCGGACATTAGCAAATGATATTGTCGATTGATGTGCAGGTAACTATACGGATTTTTATTAGTTTTCACGCTAGTGTCGTGTATGTGCTTTCTTTGTAGATTGTCTCTCGGTATATTAAATGTAGTCCCTTTTCTCAGGGCATGTGGATACTGCTACCTTAGTGTTGTTCATTTAGATTTGCGTTGGATATTCTTGTGTGTACCTCAGTTTGGTTGGATGAATTTATAAAAAAAAAAAAACGTATCACAGAAACACACATGTCATTGTAGACAAAGACATTGATGTGAATGTCAATATTCATATCCACATCCACATCCACCATTTTCAAACGTTTGATACTAGCTGTGTTGAGGACTGCGAAGCAGTATACAATACCAAAATAGCTGAATATTCAGTCGAGGGTCAAGCGAGTCACATAGACGAGCGTTACTTGTATATATATATCCCCTGTAGCAAAATAAGTTGTACACTTTGTTTTTTCGATTATTTCTTCGTAGTATTGTCATTTAACCTCAAATTTACACCACCAATAGATCTTTGATTTCTTAACATACTCTGAAAATCTCAGCATTATACAATGAGAATTCATTGAGAAGACTAGAAAAATGTATCATGTACTCGTGTATCAATGTAAAGAAAATTTGTAGTTTTGCTAAATTTCGTTTTTTTTCTGTTTTCAAAAACATTAACCTTTGACGCATAAATTAGGTTTTTCGGATCTTTTTTGCACTGTTACGGTCTTTTTGGATAGATTCATTCACAAAACACTAAGAAGAAACCTGTGGAAGTGAATTCATTCATTAAAGGTTAATGTTTTTAAAAACAAAAAAAAAAGTTTAGCAAGAAAACAGCAAATTTTTGTTACATTGATATGAGTAAATGAGACATTTTTCTAGTCTTCTCAATGAATTCTCATTCTTTAAGGCGGAAATTTTCAGAGTACATTAAGCAATCAAAGATCTATTTATAGTATAAATTTGAGGTTAAATGACAATAGTGTGGAGAAACAATCGAAAAAACAAAGTGTAGAACTTATTTTGCTCGGGAGTATATATATTACTCCCATAATACATGAGTTGTGACAAATAAAAAATTTCAATGACTTAATTGGAAGGCGCAGTTCATTACATGTAAGAAAATTAATTAGACGATGTTAGTGTAACATCGATTTTCTCTCGTCATTGTAATTGACACGCGTTATAGGAGAAAATAACAGACGTAGAAACTGTGAACAAAGAAAAAGATCGACGGACATCGATTATAGACTCTGGTTCTTAGGAGACTCTATTTCTGACGATCGAATAATTCATAAAGATTCAAAGGGTGGAAAAAGCTGAAGACGAATAGCAACCTTCGCCACGTTCAAAGAGTTGAATCTTAGGATGAAAGTGAATTCTTTTAAGTAGATTCAGTAAAGTTTTCTCAAGCTTCTGTATTCAAGTCTATGCAGAAGCATACAAATTTTTTTATGTCAAAAAATCATATAATTTACCGAGAAACGTTGAGAACTAAATCAGAACTTAATACTCTCTTGTTCTTCCTAATTTGTAAAATTACCTTCTAACTCACACTCGATTCAGAATTAAGTTTTTTGCTAGTATATAGAGATTGTCACATCACAATGAAGAGAGACAATCGATGTCACATTAAGATCATCTAATTAATTTTCTTACATGCAATAAACTGCATCTTCCAATTAAGTCATTGAAATTTTTAATTTAGTCACAACTCATGTATTGTGTGAGTAATATAGATATACTTGAGACGAATTGTCTGGCGACGAATTGTGCGACTACGTTGAAAGAGCACGTTTCAAGGATTATACTTTTAAAAAATATTTTTGATTGAATGTCAAACAAGTATATAGTGAATCAAACTACATAAATCACTAATTATCCCTTTTTATTACGAAAATTTACTCTATTAATATATTGTACATAGATGAAAAACGTTTGCATAATGGAAATTTCAGATATTTTAAACGTTATATAATATAATGCAATCTTTTTCAATTTTTTCGTAACTACTCAAATTCTCCAAAATGACTGAATTTATTATTAATCATAATCCATAATCATAAATTGCCATTTCTTTTTTTCTATTTGAAGAAGTAGAACAAAATTTAAGAAAACTCACTTGTTTAATAATAGTCTCGCATCTTCAACGCTCAATACCTTAGGATTAATTTTTATATTGTATTTAGAAAAAAATTGTTTCATTTGTCTATTATTTCAAAATAAACAAAAGTTTACTTTGTTAAAAATTTTAGACCGATTATAGTTTCATTAATGTTAACGACATCTAAATTGGGAGTATTGCCAAAGTAGGATTTTTAAAATTCAAATATTTGCCAAACGCAATGAAATACAATGAATCTACTTTTAAAAAGCGACAGATATTATTTTAAAAGATCGATTCATAAAGAAAATCTATCTGAAGAGATGTTGTCTGTGAACGACATTTGAATTTTTTCCTGTAAATTAGAAGACTCATTACATTTCACGTTTCACAGCAGCA